GTTGATGTGTGACACAAATTCTTCTATATTGTCCTTATCTACTTAGGTTTTTAGTAAAGGCATTTTTGTATTCTCAAGGACTTAGGGTTTTAGTATATAAACTTCCTAATGTGAGTGGTGAGACATCATTCTATTCCTCTTTAATTTTTTTTCTACCATTCAACTTGTCAAGTAAGAAATAATTTACTTTGTTGTAAGTAGTCTAGAAAATGTATTAAAATGTGTGTTGAGAAAATGAATATAATATTAATGTATGCACAATATTCAACCATACTAAAGAAATGTTTAATTTTAAAACAAAAATATGCATAGATCAGGGAGAATTAAGGCATGTGACATCCATTATATAATAAAATATTATAGCCTAAAGCAGAGACATGTGACATCCATTATATAATAAAGTATTATAGCCTAAAGCAGAGGCATGTGACATCCATTATATAAAACAACCGGCTCTTTACTAGAAAACCAAATATAAATTGCAATAGTGCTACGGATACCGATTATTCCCACTAAATTTTGTATCGACGTATATAGCATCCAGTTAAATGTTGTCACGTTGGAAACATAATGTCTTTCATGAATGAACAATTGTCTAACAATTATGGACGTCCGTTCATATTTGATGGACAACCTTTCATTACAAATAAACAAACGTCTACAAAAATGACAATAGACTTTTGTTCATATTATATAGATATGAGTCTATTTTCTCTAGATGGGTGTTTACCTTATATGGACATCGGTTTATAAATTTTCAAAAATATAATATTGAGGGGCATTCATGTAAAATGGATGGCCGTCCATCTCATCTAAAATCAACACAAATAAAAAAAAATTAAAAATAATTTACTTTTTTAAGTTGAAGAAACCACTTGTAGACTCATGGCCAGAAAAAGAAACTGAAGCTAGAATAAAAGAATTTTCTTTAAAAGCACAATTTCTAAAGCTTACTGCTCCTCGAATAAAGACATCCTACCTTGGAAGTAACTACACCATTTCAACTGTTTCAATTAACTACTGTACACAACAATAATGATGGCAAGCAAAATAGAAGAGGCAGAGATACAAACGGTTACTTAAATTTTTTTTTGGTTTGTTCCTCCATTTATCAGGCTATTTCAGCCCACTATGGCGTGTTACTTTCAATATGGACGATCGTCCATTTTAGATGGATATCCGTCCATAGTCCATATAATATGGACAGGTATCTATTATTATAGGCGGGTATCTATATCCATCCAAAGAAAATAGACTTCTATTCATATTATATGGACGAGAGTTCATTGTTATTTTTGTGGACGTTCATCCATTCGTAATGAATGGTCGTCCATCAAATATAGACGAGCGTCCATAATTGTGAAACAACTGTTCATTCATAGAAGATAGTGTTAGTGTTATGTTTCCAATGTGCCCGTGTCTAACTGGATGCCACGTACGTTGATAAAAAAATTTGGTGGCAATAATTAGTGTCTGTAACATTATTGATATAAATCGAGGGTTAAGACACCCTTTTACTTACATTAGCACCAATTAAAGTAATTTTAAAATCATCTCAGTATTCAACAACTTAGCCTGAGGAGTGAGGAATATCAGCTTCTGAAGAGCCTTTTTTTTTTCTTTTTTCTTTTTTTTTTTTTCAATATAAAAGAAATGAAAAGCAAAGACAGATGAAATAATAGAAATGTAATTCCAAGTAACATCCATATTCATCTTTCAAGTAAGTTTAATTTATTATTTTTTTATAATAATAATAAATTATACTCTCAACATATGAGAGTTAACATCACTTTAATTTGACAATTAATAAGTATAATTATATTGATTATAGTCACTTATACCTTAAGGAGATAAATCTTAAACCACGCCCAAGTACTTCACTTGACCTCCTCTGCAAATATATGAAGCCAATCGCCACCAGACAATGATTTAATACTAAACAATTGCAACTAGTTCATATGCATTTGAAAATATTCATTAACTGATTTTTTAAGTAAACTTAAAAGGTATTTTGATAAGAGCTTGAAAGTCTATATTTTGTTAGTAATTTAATTGGATTATTTATGGAACAATGTGTTTAAATTGTGGAATTTGAATAAATTTTTTCATAAATACCTTTTATGGAATCATGGGTGTATTTTGAGTATTTTCAGGTTCAAACAGATATTTGAAGGGAAAAGAATGATGTCGATAGAATTCATGACGCGTAGGAACAAACGATACAAGAATCGGAGTTGAAATGAGAAAGTTGTGACACGTCGAAGATACAACGTAAAATCTGGAAATCCTTCAAGATGAGCATGCTTCGATGTTTCTGTTATAACTTGAGCTGTAGAAATCGGAATTCAACGATTCTGGTGGCGTTGGAAGCATATTCAGAGAGCTACAAAGTTCGTGTTGATGACTTTACCAAATTCTAAAGATCACGGACTCATTGGACAGAAAGAACGATCGCCGCAGCGACTGTTCTTACCGCCGTGGCAATGGGTCACGGGCCTGTTAGGCTAATGCATTGTCCTAATCCGAATCTGAATGGGTTAAGACATTTAACTTTTTCCTAAGTAAGATAAAAACCCTAGGACTATAAATAAGGTCTTTAAGCAGTTTTGAGGGGGTTTTTTTAGAGAGAGAAAAAGGATGGCTACTATTTTGGAGAACGGAATTCTTGAAGTTCCCGTTTAACAATTAGAGAAGTGTTCTATATTTTTCTTTCTTGAACTCATATTATTGAATACAATGATGGTTTTTATTATTGCAACTATGAACTAAATCTCTTTTCTAGAGCTAAAGATATAGCCCAATTTATGAATATGTATTGACGTTATCTTTATTGATTTCCTATTGAGCATTAATTCTAAGTTTTATTATTGTGTGTAATGCTTTCAATTCTTAAGGATCCGAGGGTTGAATGATATCATGGGTTAGGTTGAGATCGAGAGATGAAACCTGATTTGTCTAAGGTAATAAAACCATAGATTGAGCGAACACTAGAGATAGGTTACCACGATTTATGAGGCTCTGGTAAATTCCATAGAACTTAATGATCTCTTAGTTGCTAAATCCAACTTAGAGATATTTTGGGTTGTTGTTTAATGGTTAATTCGCTAATTGTTCGAGAGAAAGTTAGTGGAATATTAGGGAGTTTGGCCTTTAGAATAAGCTTAATTAGGTTAGCAATAAGTGTCAATACATAGGATTAAATTGGTGTGAAATCTGTGCCCTAGGGTTTAGCCATATTGATCTTTATACCAAAGTTTTTATAAAATTATGCTTTTGTTTAGTTTTTAATTTGTTTTTTTTTTTAATTAAATTCATTCATAAAATTATGTTTCATCAAATAACAATAAAATAGCATAGTTTGGTACTTAGTAGGTAGTTCTCTTGAGATTCGACACTCTTTTACTCGAGCTTTATTACTTATATGATTTCGTATACTTGCGAATAGCCTACCATATTTCAAATGAAAGGATTTAATCTTAATTATTTCATCCCTTCTTTTACAATTATATATCTTCAGTTTTAAAATTAACAATATTAATTGCAGTTACCACATATGTATATGCATTTAAATAGGTATTTTTTCTTAACATTATTATGATATTATACTGTGAGTATATATTGTAAACTTGAGTTGATTCATTTTCAGTTAATAAGATTTCAACAAGTACTTCTGACATAGAAGAAATATNATTTATAGTAAATTAAGCATGCATAAAATTAAAGGTAAATTACATTAATCTTTTGTAAACCAATAGATGAAGCATTGTTGATCATTCCTTTAAATAATTTAATTATAAAAAAAGAGGAAAAACTTATTTTTTTCCTGTTTGACAACAAACAAAGTCAATTTAGACTACAGTATTCATTTTATTGTAAGTAATGGTGAATATTCTTTATGCCCCTTGCTTAATATTTGCTCAATCACCACCCCAAGAAATAAAATCATATCTAACCTTACTAATATTAAATTTTTTAATACAATTGTTCGATATATTATTTAATCGTATAAATTAATAAATTATTAATTTATTGAGGCATTTTTTATTTTCTTTTTCCAAAACATTGAACTTAATGCATGTACATATTGTATATAGTTAGGGGTGTAAACGAGCCGAGTTAAGCTAAGTGTCACCCTAAACGAGCCTAACTCGGTTAAGCATTAGACGAGTTCAAGTCGAGTCATGAGTCAGCCGAGTCAGGACAATTCGACTCATAACTCGACTCGTATATAATCGAGTCAGCTCGAGCTTGTTTGACTCGACTCGAAAAGCTTGATTACGACTCGATTAACGCGAGCTCGAATTGGCTCGATTACGGCTTGTTTGGCCCTTTTTTATATAACCTGCAGATCTTGTTTTACATTAATCAGATCCAATTTTTGGTAAATTTGCATCCAAATCAACATAAACAATGTATTACACAACAAATTATGCAATCCAAGACAAAAAAAGGGTTTTTTTATTTGTGGTTGTTAGCGATTGGGTAGTTCTTGTGTTTATATGTGGCTGGGTGTGATTTTAGGGATTTTTTTTTGGGGGAATTGGGATTTCTTGATGATTAGTAATGTGAAAATAGGGTTTATGATTTTGGGGAAATCGTTTATACGATTTGGGTTAAGGGTTAATTTGTAATATTTTTAACCTTTTGCATGTAAAATTACAAGACAGACCTAAAACTTGTATTTTTCATAGAAAAACCCTAAACGAGCCACTATTGACTCACAAGCCAAATCGAACCAATCCGAGGTAGACTCGAACTCGGCTTGGTACCTAATTCGAGTCATACTTGAGCCAACTCGGGTCGATTAAACTCAAGCCGAGTTCGAGTATTTAACGAGCCGAGCCAAGTCGACTCGTGAGCGGCTCGGCTCGGCTGACACCCCTATGTATAGTTAATGTGGTATAGGGAATAACTCATAGTTAATGCACTTAAAGCAACAATCAATTACCTTGCATAATTTTCTCTTGCAATACGAAAAGATGATTAAGATTGTGCTTCATTCATGACATATTTCCTAGTACATCATCAATAAAGTGTCCAAATGCAGCAAATGAAGATCCTCCTTCCATCACTGCTAATCTGCTCTTTTCACTCATCACTTTCACCTTCTTCCTCACTTCATTATCACTCTCCATCACACATTTTATAGCTCTTCCTATTTCATCTCCCAATGCAACTTCCCCATTAGTGATCCTATAATCTACTCTCAACTCCACGGCCAATCCCAAATCTTTCACCATTCGGAAAGCATTAAGCTGCTGCTTAACATACATAGGCCATGTCACAATTGGAACACCAAACCACAAGCTCTCCAAGATTGAATTCCACCCACAACGTGACACGAATCCTCCCACTGACTTATGAGCCAACACCTCCTTTTGTGGTGCCCGTCCACACACCAAACCCTTTTCCTTCGTTCTTTCCAAGAACCCATTTGGCAAGATTTCCTGGAGATTATCACTATTGTAATCACTAGGCCCTTCAAATTCGCCATTTGGTGGTGGCTTCCGTAAAGACCACAAGAACCTTACCCTACTTTGCTCCAATCCAAATCCAATTTCTTTGACTTGTTCTTCACTAAAGCTCCTCGGGCTTCCAAAGCACAAGAAAACAACTGATGAATCAGGCTGATCATCAAGCCATTTCATTATCTCATCAGCTTTTTCTGTCTCATCACTCTGACGTCCCTTTACATCAATAATTGGTCCGACCGTGTAAATTGGTGGCATATGATCAAAATCATTCAACAGAGACTTAACCGCATGAGATTCCAGCTCCTGGAATGTTTAACAAAACTTCTGGCAGACCACTGCTTGGAACTGGATTAACATAACTAGGGATCATCAACTCACCATCAAACTCTTCAAATCCTCTTCCAACTTCATCATGTCGAGTTGGAAGGTATAGCATAAGACCAAGAAAAGCTGCAGTAGAAGGGAAGAACAAATAAGAAGGAACACCAAGTTCATTTCCCACATCGATCATTGATGTATAAGACATATCAACTACCAACCCAGCAAGTGTAGCTGAATTAGAACTGGAAATCACATGCTTGACAATCGCTTCTTTAACACAAGTTTTATGAGAATCTATGAACTCAACCATATGCTTTTCTACATATTTATGAGCATCTTTTGAAGGAGAAAAGTCTATGGGAGGAGAAAGATTGATGAACCTTATTGGAGTATTAGATTCTGCAAGTGATTTATATAACGTATGCGTAACAACATTTCTAGTAAAAATAGAATCCATGAGAAGGACAGCCACTGAGAAACGCCCATCATCTCGCTCTAACAATCGCTTTGCAAACTCTACTTCAGGAACCAAAGTGGCCTGCGCCTGCTAGAGGGATGAACACAAGCTCAGCTTTATTCATTGTTGGCGATGGCAGAGGAAAATGTAATAAAAATTTGTGATTTCTTTTCTTCTGGGGAGTTAATAAGGGATCTAGACCACTCCTTTGATAAGGAAGTGATCTGTTGCACATGTCTATGAAATCAATCAATCATGTTCCAGAAAGAGATTCTTTTGTTCAGAAGCTGCAATTAATGATTAATAAAAAAAATTACAATTTATTTATGGTTACTATAATAATTTCACTTAGATACATAAGAATGATATTATGATGAGTCATCAGTAATGGAATATGTTATCCATATGTTAATGTTGTTTTAATTTATAAAGAAACATGTTCAAGTGTTGTCTCATGTTTACTTCATCAAAATAATAATGTATGCTTAATCCGTTAAATTAAATATTTAAACTCTAATGGGATACTCACAGTAGAGAGTTAATTGTTGTTTATGATACTTACGGAAAAAAATGCACTAAATTAAATTATAAAATAAATTGAAATATTCCAAATATTCCAAGTAAATTTAATGAATCATTGGTGATGAGATTTTCTTTCTCATCAATCATTGTTAAAAAGATTGGAGCGGCAACTGCACTTGAAGTTAGAGATGCGGGAATTCCATATGCTTTTGCACCTAGCATTGTGGTATACATTATCAAATCCTACAGCTAATGGATGTCAGCATTTCATTCTTCAGATTAATTGTGGACTCCTGATAAATCTTATGTCTATATATACAGGTTTGCAGGGATCCAAGATGGGGCCGATGCTACAAAATCTACAGCGAGGATCCTAAGATTGTTCAAGCAATGATTGAGATTATAACCGGGCTACAAGGAGATGTTCCTACTAGCTCTCAAAAGGGTGTCCCATATGTCTTAGGAAAGTAAGATTGATTAATTATGTAGTCTTAAAGTATCTCATTTGATTTCAGTGGCATGGCATGATTCACATTTCGCAGAGAGAAGAGTAAAATTGAGGGAGAGAGAATGTGAGTTAGAACAAAGCAAAGTTAGAGAATAATTAAAATATTTAACATATTGCTCCCATTAACTCATAAATTATATAATCCTAAATGTTTACAGAATTGAAGTAGGAGTCTAAGATGTATTGTTGTAGAGTTAGAGTAGGAGTCCAAGTATTTCTTTTCCTATAATCCACTATTATTTAATAAAGGTTATTTGGTATTTGAATAGATGTGTACAGCGACACAAAAAACGGATGGCGCAAAGGCAAGAGTGGCGTAATGAATAGAGAGATATGAAAACCAAAATAATAGTAGACATACAAACCATAAACAATAAACAAGGCAAGAGTGGCGTAATGAATAGAGAGATATGAAAACCAAAATAACAGTAGACATACAAACCATAAACAATAAACAATTAAGAGAAAGAAGAAATATGCGCGATTTTATCTTAGTTCACCCAATTAACAGGTTACATCCAACTAAGTCAATATTATTGCAATACTGTCTCATCTCACTCGTTTACAATGAAAGTAATTTGTCTTCTTATTTGTTATCATTTATTACCAGAGAAAAAAATGTTTATATATTAGGTTTAAAAGACTAAAAGCTAGTATTACAAAAACTTATATTCCTAGGCCCAAACTTAATAAAGAATCAATAATTTAAAGAAATTTTTCAACGGTTCTTTATGGACAAGGCACAAACCGCCTGTGGGCCAGGGGTGCTGCCCCTGCACCCCGCTCATCAATCGGCCACTAAGACCCTGAATGCGTCTTTGTAGCCTATTAATGCTGGAGTGGTCGACAACTCCGACAGATCTTCAGGTCTTTGAATGCAAGAATTTACGATGCGAGGTTTACTTCGCTCAACGGCTAGCCATATGAGATTGTTTCAACACCTTAGAATGACGCACGATTTGTGTTGAAACTCTTGGATTCTGTATTCCGACTCGATCTGGCATCGTTTGCACCACCATGATTTGGTCAAAGCTGCAGGTATGTTAATTATGACTCTGTGAGCATTGTTTTCCATTAAAGTGAATCGACGCGAATTTATGGTGTTGGGGTATTTGCGTCGAAACTCCTGGATTCTGTATTCTAAAGCAATCTGGCGTCGTTGTACCACCATGATTTGGTCAAAGCTGCAGGTATGGTACCCCTCTTTTGACGCAGATTTATGGTGTCGGGGTATTTGCATCAAAACTAGCCATCTGGCGTCGTTGTACCACCATAATTTGGTCAAAGCTACATGTATGTTAAGATTCTGTTTGCATCGTTTTCCATTAAAGTAAATCAACTTGATTAAGATTTTCAGCATAAAGCCATGTATAATACCGATTTCATTTTACATGCGGTTCAAAAAAATTTAGAAGTTTGGATCTTACATTGAGATTCCAAAACAGTGTTTGAACATGCATATAGATTCATGATGATTTCTTACTTAGCAGTGGTAGGATGTCTGGAGATGATGCAGTATTGTCAAATGTAGAACTTGTTGAAGCAGGAACAGCATCCCAAGGCTCAATTACTACGGTTCTCATGTGATAATGTTGTTGATCATCACTATCTTTTCTTGAAGCTCGGATTGCCTCTAACTCCATGGCAACTTCTTTCATTGAGGGTCTGTTCTTCCCACTTATGCTTAAACGCCTTTTTGCGATGTTAGCAACAGCCATGATCTCTTCTCTCTTTCCCTGCTTTACTACTTGAGCATCGAGAATATCAAACAAATGTTTCTCCTCTAAAAAGTGAAGGAAATATGTTGACAAACTTCTACCTTCTTTTGATCTTGTCAAAGATATCGGTTTTTGACCGGTTAAAAGCTCAACAAGGACTACTCCAAAACTATATATGTCAATTTTGTCAATGAATTGACTTGATTGAAAGTATTCAGGGTCCAAGTATCCAAAAGTCCTCAATAATTTTGTGGTGACATGAGTTTGATCGATTGCGATCAATTTTGAAGTCTCGAAATTAGCTACTTTTGCTCAGTACTTTTCATCTAAGAGTATATTCGTAGACTTGATGTCTCAATGATAAATTGGTATAGAAGCTACCGAATGTAAGTAAGAAATAGCTCCAGAAAAAAAAAAAAAAATATATATAATATATATATATAATAAGAGAGTAGAAGAGAGGAGAATACTACTTTTTGTATAAAGTGATGTGACAGGTTCCACACCACTATTTGTGGAAAAAAAATGAAAATCGATATGAAACTAATGGTGTGACAGCTACCACATCATTTTGTAAAAAGACTCTTTATACATGTAGCATTTTCCATATATATATTATTTGAATATTTAGGAAAACCTAACAAGAGCGCGGTCTTTGATTTTTCCATGTCCTTAAGGGTATGCGTGTAAGTCTCATTAGAATTTTCGCAAACCTCAGGCCCGCAGATGGTTGTATTACTTTACATTCATCGGTATCTGGGAATATGTTCAAGAAGTAAAAAAAAAAAAAAAAAAAAAAAAAAAAAAGTTAAAATTATATATATATGTCTAGCAAAATAAAAATGAAAAGATTTATTTGTAAATGTAGATTCATACAATTTCTGTATATTTGGATATTGTTATATCATTCAATCCATTATTATTTAATTCCACAAGGCACATTCATGGTCTAACAAATATTTTTAGTCTTATATAAGAAACCAACAATTTTATCCCTACAATTCAGAATATTCCACTCGGCTTCTTCGACCCTATTTTTAACCCCTTTATTTATTGAACTTACTTTTTGCCCCCCAGAAAACATTTTGTGGCTCCACCCTTGATGCATATATGCTAACTTCAGCAAAAATAAAAAGACCGTCGTAGACTTTTTGTAGCCGTACTTTAAAAAATTCAGATGAAATCTAAGAGAAAATTCGTATATATATTGAATCAGAGTTAACTCTAAAGAATGTTGTAAGCTTGAAGATAGAAATTTCCTATCATCCTTGGAGAAGATATGGATTTCCTCTATACCAGGCAAGCACTGCATCGACCATTTGGGTACTGACTGCTGAAGCAGCTACAAGCAGACATGTCACAACGAGAAGTTAACTCATACGTCCTTGATTTATCCCTCGATATTGTCGAAATAGATTTGAATATACCCCAATCAAGTACCACAGGAACAAGTGTAAGATTTGTAACATCTTGAAGATTTTTTAGTTGGTTTAGAACCAGTTTTTGTTCTGCCAAAAAGGCAATGGGACATTTGGAACTAACATCAGAATGAAGAAAAAACCCTTGAAAGCCGAAGTTACATTACCCTGGCAACTATTTTTTCTCCTTCACAGGTAGAAGAACATTCAGCAACAGCTGAATCGTCATCAGAAAGCAAAGAAAAATTTCCACAGCCTACCCCGTAGAATCTGTTTCTATATGGGGAAAGGTAAAAGGGGTCTGGTCATCAAATTTGAAATATTCTATTTAGAAACACAAGGATTGAATACTGGGAAATTAACACGCATTGTTCCATCTAGAGAAATGTCAAGCACTTCAAATGTTTTTTTTTTTCCAAGGAGATGAATGGCTTACTAGAGTTAAAGGTTGACTTTTTGTGGGCAAGTCTTCTCTTTTTTTACTGTTCCTTACAGTATTAATGCTTACAGTTTTTCCGGAGAGAGAAAAGCCCCATCCTGGAGTAGACTCACATATTTAACAATTTTCAGGTTAGTATATTCATATGTGAGTGTTTGGATTGTGGCGTGAACTGACTTAAAGATTGACAGAGTAACTCAAATTAGGTCTATTCATGGCAAAGATAGAGAAGTTTTCCAATAAGCTTCTGAAATTGTTGGATCAGACAAAGGAGAATCATCATAATGTTAAATAACAGATCATAAGCTTGAGAAGTAAACTTCATATGCTGATCCGTTTCTTAAAGTGTGAAAGGATCCAATAAAGACATATCAACTACCAAACATGCTTGACAATCGCTTCTTTAACACAAGTTTTATGAGAATCTACGAACTCAACCATATACTTTTCTATAGATCTATGAGCATCTTTTGAAGGAGAAAAGTCTACAGGAGGAGGAAGATTGATGAACCTTATTGGAGTATTAAATTCTGCAAGTGATTTATATAACGTATGTGTAACAACATTTCTAATAAAAATAGAATCCATGAGAAGAACAGTCACGGAGAAACGTCCATCATCTCGCTTTAACAATCGCTTTGCAAACTCAACTTCAGGAACCAAGTGGCCTGCGCCTGCTAGAGGGATGAACACAAGCTCTGCTTTCCTCATTGTTGGCGATGGCCGAGGAAAATGTAATGAAAATTTGTGATTTCATTTCGTCTGGGGAGTGGATAAGGGATCTAGACCACTCCTTTGATAAAGTAGTGATCTTGTTACACATGTATATGAAAGCAGAGAGAGATTCTTCTGGTCAGAAGCTGCAATTAATGATTAATAAAAAAATAAAAATATGAAATAAATCTGCAAGCTTATTATAATAAAAGTTCTACAGAGTTTTAAGTCTGACCATGGGTAACGGATAAACCCGAAACCGGTGATACCCAGACCGCCAGTCCGGATTGACAGGATAGGTTCCGGCTCTAAGTTGGAACCGGGACTCCTCGGTTCCAATTACCGAGAACCGGAACCGGATTCGGCATTTATATATTTAAAAACCAAAACCAAACCCAATACCCATCATTCAAAATATTCCGAAAAATTACATACAGATATTAAAAAAGAGTGTGAAAGAGAGAGACCTTGTCGAGGAAAGTGGAGGACTTGGGTGGTTTGGAAGAAGGAGAAGCAGAAGGTTGGCGTTGAAGGGTCAGTTTGCTATGCTTTGTGACTATAATTGAGTGTTGATTTTTTGGTTGTCGTTGCCTCCCTCTCTTGCATAGTTGCATTTTCTGCTTGCTCTTTTATGGGATTCTGCAAAACAAAAAGTCTAAAACGAAACCAAAACCCCTTCTTATGGGTTCAAATCAAAAGTTGACCCTCGAAGAAGCAAAGCAAATATTTGTGTTTAGTTCTTTTGTTATGGGCCTAAAGGTTTGGGCTTCTTGGCCGAAAGAAGTTTCCCAAATCCAAAAGTTGAAAACAAAATTTAGAAATATGTTGAAAATATATCAACCTATAAATACAGAATAATAATACACTTCTGTTTAATTTAGTGGTGCTATTCAGTGAAGAAAGTAAAATAAAAGGGATGAAAGTGAGAGAATTGAGCGACGTGAGTATTGATATATTAAAGCCCCTCAAATATTTTGATTTGCTTTCAATTGAAATTGATCATTGAATGAAAGGGATGGGTATTTATAGATAATACACCTGCGTCGCTCCTCCCCCCCGGAGACATCGACTGCTTACAGATAAGTGTATTTATCCTGATTCAAGAAAAACCTTGTGGGAAAAATACCTAAGTAAAGAAATACAATTATAACGTGAAGTTAGACGTGTTTCATATTGCCTCATTAAAAACCTTGTCAGAAAAACCCTGTGAGACGAAACCTAATCAAGGAAAAAAAAAGTACAGTACAAATATGTCCAATACAATATACTTGTCTCATAATGGTAGAATTAATTTTGTAATTTATTGAGTGGCCGCATACCAATATTATACACAAACTTTTCAAATGTTGATGTTGGTAAAGCCTTAGTGAATGTATCTGCAAGATTATCATTGAAGCGTATTTGTTTGACATCAATCTCATGATTTTGCTGGAGTTTGTGAGTGTAAAAGAATTTTGATGAAATATGCTTTATTTTGTCTCATTTGATATATCCTCTCCTGACTTGAGTAATACATGCTGCATTGTCTTCATATATAATTGTGGTAGCATATGAGGTACGTGGCAATTTGCATATACTTTCAACATGATAGATGACAGATCTAAACCATACACATTCTCGGCTGGCTTCATGAAGTGCAAGAATCTCGGAATAGTTGGAGGAAGTAGCAACCAATGTCTGTTTTGCCAAACGCCATGATATTGTAGTACCATTATGAGTGAAAACATATCCCGTCTACGAGCGGGCTTTGTAAGGATCAGAAAGGAACCTAGCATCTATAGCTGGGCAAGGACCGATCCCAAGCAGGCCTAGGCCTAGGCCCGTTTGGGACTGGGACTGGTCCCAGGCCCATGAGAAACTCTAGGACCCGGACTGGTCCATAGGACTGGTCCTATAGGGTATAGGACCAGTCCTAAGGGCTTGGAAAATTTTCCCCCCTCAAATTTTTTTTTTATATTTTGGGGGCGAAACAAAATTTTGTAAGGGGTTTTTAGTATTTTTTAGGGGTAGAATTTATAAATTTTATAAAATTTTTAGACTTGGAAGATTTTTTTTTAATAAATTTTGTAAAATTTCATTTTAACCCTTGTAATTTATATTTATTTAAAATTGATAGAGGGTTTTATGTAATTATGCAGGGGACTAAAATGAAAAAATGCAAAAAAATTTGGGCCCAGGCTCGGGCCTTAGAGGAGGGCCTGGTCCTAGGATTGGGTTTTGGGGCTGGGCTTTTGGGTCCGGTCCCAAATGCCGAGTCTCTACTAGCATTTGTATAGCCAAGTAATTTAGGATCATTAACAGATTTCCTTGGATAAAATAATCTCAAATCTTTAGTTCCACTGAGGTAACAAAAGACATGTTTGATCCCATTCCAATGTCAACGAGTTAGTACGAAGCTAAATCTTGCCAATAGATTTACTGCAAATGCTATGTCTGATCTCATACATTGTGCCGAATATAATAATGCACCTATTGCATTTAGATACGGTACTTCAGGACCAAGTATCTTTTCGTCATCTTCTTTAAGAAGAAATAGATCCTTTTAGGATCAAGAGACCAAACAATTGGGGTACTCAAGGGGTGAGATTTATCCATATTAAATCACTTTAGGATCTTTTTAGTATAATTTGATTGATAGAGCAAAACTCCATTTGAACAATGCTTGATCTGTAGGCCGAGACAATACTTTGTTTTCCTGAGATCCTTCATTTCAAATTCTCTTTTGAAGTACTCAATAGCTTTTGTGAACTCTTTAGGGTTCGTATTAAGTTCATGTCGACATATATTGCCACAATTGCAAATCCTGATTCTAACCCTTTTATAAAGACACACAGGCATATAGGATCATTGATGTATCCTTCCTTAATCAGATATTTACTAAGACGATTATACCACATTCATCCTGATAGTTTTAACCTATATAACTATCTTTGCAATTTTATTGAATACATGTTCCTTTTATTTGGTTCTGGCACTTTGAACCCTTTAGGGATTTTCATATAGACATTAGTATCCAGTGTACCATACAAATACGTAGTGACAATGTCCATGAGACGCATATCAAGTTTTTCAGAGACTGATAAACTAATCAAGTATCAAAATATGATAGCATCCATCACTGGTGAATACGTCTCATCAAAGTCAATTCCAAGTCTTTGTAGGAAACCTTGAGCCACTAGTTTGGCCTTATAACTAGCAATCTCATTTTTTTCATTTCGTTTCCTTGTGAATACACACTTGTATCTTATGGGTTTCACGTTTTTAGGCGTTTGGACTATAAGTCCAAATACATTACGTTTTGTTAGGGAGGTTAATTCTGCTTGAATTGCTTCTTTCCATTTTGACCAATCATGCCTTTGTCGACATTCATCAACAAAATGTGGCTCAAACTCATCATTCATAATTTCAGTAGCTACTGTGTATGAGAGTATGTTATCGCCAATAACTGTCTCACGATTCCACTTTTCTCTAGAGTGAGAATAGTTTATAGAAATTTCTTCATTTCTATGTTCTTGTATTCCTTTAGGGATTTCTTCCTCTTCATAGGCTTGTGTCCTTTCAAGGATTGTTAACTCTTCTGGGGTTAGTTTAGAAAATATGGAATTGTCAATTATTCCAGTATTGTCAATATTGATACCTATTTGATTATGTGCCTTTTGTTTCCTAGGAACAATATCCTTGGCTCCAACAGGCCTACCACGCTTCTAGCATGTAACAAATGAATTGATCATTGCCGCATGGATTGTTCATTAGTAACATCAATCCTTGCTGGTGTATTGACAGTAGGAATGTATGATCTCGTTATCTTTGCTACATCTGTAAATGCATCAAACATTGGTTTGCAATATTTTGCAAATGTGTTATTCTTTGCACTTCAATTTCAGATTGAGATGTGCGAGGATCTAAATGAGACATATAATTCACTATCTAGGAAAGTTCAGGCCTTACTTTAGAAGGCTTTACTTTTTTCCTTAAAGATAAGAATGTTGTCTCATCAAAATGGCAATTCGTAAAACGTGCGATAAATAGATCACCCGTCAAGGGCTAGAGATATCTGATGATAGATGGTTAGTCATAGCCAACATATATTCCCAAACGATATTGAGGTCCTATTTTACTGCGTTTAGGGGGTGCAATTGGAAATTACACGGTACAACCAAAAGTTCTTATATGGGATATATTAGGTTGATACCCAAATACAAGTTGTATTGGAGAGTATTGATTATATGCAATGGGTCTTAGGCGAATTAACGCCGCAACATGTAAAACAACATAAGCCCAGACAGAAGTTAGTAATTGCGTGCGTAATAGCAAAGTTCTTGCAATTAATTAGATATGCTTTATAAATAACTCCGCCATACCATTCTGGGTATGTACCTGTGGCATTAAGTGCTCAACATCAATTCTTATTGCTGTACAATAATCATCAAATGTCTTTAAGGTAAACTCACCAGCATTGTCTAGAAGGATTACTTTAATTGGGTAATTTGGAAAGTGTGCCCGTAATATGATAATTTGTGCCAATAATCTAACAAAGGCAACATTATGGGTAAATAGTAGACAAACATGTGACCATCGTGCCGATGCGTCAATTAGTGCCATAAAGTAGCAGAAAGGTCCACTTGGTGGATGAATAGGCCACTTTTGTCCTCTTGAATTCTTCGTAAAAATGATGGGGATTAGAGGTGACCAGTTCGGGGTACCTTGCATTTTTCGGGGGAACTAGAACCGAAACCGCATAGTGCAAGTTCCAAAAAAAAAAAAAAAAAAAGAACCGAAATCGAAACCTAAAATTCAAGTTCTGGTTCCTTACCCAGATATCCTGTGAAAAATCAATTATCCCATTATTAGTTTAAAAAATGACAAAAATACTTAAAAAGTTTACAAATACAACCCTAACAAATTAAGAAAACCTACATTTAGTAGTTTTCAACTTTTGATTACTCATTCATTTGTGTCCAATGTGACTCATAAATCCTCTAATCTCTAGGCAACACTTGAATTCAATTAATTTATAACAATTCACATAAAATTTATCAATCAAAACCAAAATACAAACAAGTTCCAAGTAGGGTACGTACTTCAAGTTCTTTTCTTAGGTTCCGGTTTTAACACCTATAGGAACCGGAACTAGAACTGCATATTGCACAATGTTGGTTCCAATAAAATGGAACTGGAATCTACCCACATAGTGTCTGTTTCAAGTAGGTTCCTGTTTTTGTTCTGAATCTACCTGTAAGTTCCAGTTCTATCCACTACCTGTGCTCACCCCTAATTGAAAAGGAAAAGTTATAAATTCTCTTATTCAACAAAAATACAGAAAATATTACATGTATATTATATATTACCGATTAATTATGAAGTAAGTATATTATGTTATAGAAGAATAATGAATAATACTAAATATGCAAACTCTTTATATAAATTCTTTCTTATAAACTACTAATATGTCATCAAATAAATGAATGATTGTATGCAAAATGTCACGTCAATTTGTATGCGTTACTTTGTATATTAAATTTGTATATATAACACTACTTTAGAATGATATTATATGTACAAACTCTTTGTACAAATTAATGTAGTATAAAGAAAAAGATGAATTTATATATAAAACCAAATCATTAAATACTAATTAATATAGATGAATGATGTAAAATAAACAGTTATACTACATGTTTGTACACATAACACCGGCTTCAATATTAAGATTCTTTGAAAATAGAAAAACTCTAGCATATATATATATATATATATATATATAGTATAAAGATAATATATATATATATATATATATATATATATATATATATATATGCTTTTACATTTGTAGTTTATTGTAAAGCTTTTTGACGAGTTTGAAAGGATAACAGAAAACCAGAGCCTTAAACTGTCAACAAAACTCACTCATCCATCCATGGCCTCCTCTATTCGTCTCGCCACCCCCACCACCGCCCACCACTTTTCCTCCACCACCACAACCACCTCGCCACCCCTTTCCCTTTCACCGCCATTAAAACCCAAACTCAAAACCCCTACAATTCGTTCCCGCCTAAGCAAAATATGCCAGGAAGGCCAACCTCACTTAGCCCACCAACTGTTCGACACAATTCCCCGCCCAACTACCGTCGTTTGGAACACCATCATTATCGGTTTTATTTGCAACAAAATGCCACAAGATGCCATTTTGTTCTATGCCCAGATGAAAAAATCCGCTCCTTATACTGTGTGTGATAACTATCCTTACTCTTCGGCTCTCAAGGCTTGTGCCGCGAAACACAATTTGGAAATCGGTAAAGCTGTTCATTGATTTATTAGGGGCTTATTGAACCCTGGTAGGATTGTGTATAGCTCTCCACAAACTATACTTACTCTTCGGCTCTCAAGGCTTGTGCCGCAAAACACAATTTGGAAATCGGTAAAGCTGTTCATTGCTTTATTAGGGGCTTATTGAACCCCGGTAGGATTGTGTATAACTCTCTGTTGAATATGTACGCTACTTGTTTGAGTTCTGTGGTGGATAGTGAAATTGGTCGGTGTGGTTATTCTGATTTTGATTATTCAAAGTATGATTTAGTTTGTAAAGTGTTTGATACAATGAAAAGGAGAAATGTTATTGCGTGGAATACTATGGTTTCATGGTACGTAAAGACAGAGAGGTATGCAGAAGCGGTTAGGCAATTTAGGATGATGATGATGAAGGGAATTAGACCCAGTACTGTTAGTTTTGTTAATGTTTTCCCGGCTTTGTTGAGTTTAGGGGACTATAAGAATGGTAACGTACTTAATGGATCGCTTGTTAAATTGGGAAGTGAATATTTGAATGATTTGTTTGTTGTGAGTTCGGCTACTTTCATGTATGCTGAGCTTGGTTGTATTGATTTCGCTAGGAAGATTTTTTACTGTTGTTTGGAGAGAAATACTGAGGTTTGGAACACTATGATCGGTGGGTATGCACAGAGTAGTTCTCCTGTTGAAGCTATTGAGCTTTTCATTGAAGCTATGTTATCAGATGAAATTGATTTTGATGAGGCGACTTTTTTATCGGTCTTAACTGCAGTTTCACAGTTGCAGCGATTGAACTTAGCTTAACAGCTGCATGCCTATATAATTAGAATTTGGCAACATTGCCAGCTATAGTATTATATGCAATTATTGTCATGTATTCAAGATGCGGCTTTGTCCATACATCATTTAAGGTTTTTGATAATATGCTGGAATGGGATGTTGTTTCTTGGAATACAATGATTTCTGCTTCTGTTCAGAATGGATTGGATGATGAAGGATTAATTCTTGTGTATGAGATGCAGAAACAACAATTTATGATTGATTCTGTTACTGTTACTGCATTGAAAGGAAATACGTGGACGAGTGGACATAAAAAGTCAAACTTATCATTTTCTGTAATATCATTTTATATAAACATCTTTCTATTCATTCCCTCTCACATTACTTCGTATAAACATTTTTCTAAAATTCTTTATACTTTTAGCATTAGTGATTTGAACAACTACAATAGATAATTATTAGAGAATTACCATGACAAACTACAAACCAAATTCTAAAAAAGGATTCTTTACACGGTAGAAACATCTACAATGGAGAATTAAAGTAAAGTAACAATCCAAATGTTGATAATAGTTGAAAAAAATCAACTAAAAATAAAATCTTTTCACACTTCATCACTCACATATAACTTCATCGTGCTTCTTGGGTATATCGAAGGTGTAGTCATCCGAACACCTGACCAAATGGGTTTTTTTTGGGACAAAACAAAACACTCTGCTAATCTTTAATTCTTTCTCATCCAATCTAAAAATGATCCGATCATCAATCTCAAAACCTTAACCTTCTTTACGAATATTTCTATAATTATCCTACTCATTACAATCTAGATTATGATATTCATTAGTGAAATATAGTAATATACGCAATTAGAACATCTTGAACAATTTCTACTCACAAAAAGAATTTGATCCCCCAAACTCCCTAGGTCCTTTAATAGTAAAAGCATTCAAATTTTCTCATGAGAATTTCCTGAAAATATCAAATTTAGATCACGTTTGTTGGTATTAGGGACAACGGTTTAATTCCGTCCGTTAATACTACAAGATAAATTTAGTTTATCGATAATTGATATTTGTAAATGAAGTCTATATTTTTTCCACGTTTAAGAATTTTTGAGGTAAAATAAACAAAGAAATTGAAAATCTTATATAATATACAGAATCATGAATATTGAGATTTTGTTATTTATTAATACCATTAAAATAACAAAATTATGTGTAGGTTATTTTATAATATTTGAGTTGATCTTTTCAATATCAAAAAGTTTTTTGATAATAAGATAATTTAAGATTAGAACATTCCATCTTTTATATTTTTGGTCACAAACAACCCCTTCTTCAACTTCAATGCTTCTTCGCCAACACCTCACAACTCTCAATCGCCATCATCCACCAAAATCCCACTTCTCTACACGCACACAAATGAAAAACCAAAACGACCCCGTCACTCTCCAATGGAAAGTGCTTGGTTTTGGGCATGAAAATGCTGTGTTTGTGCCTAGTTTGAACCCTTATTTGGGTGATGATCCTGCTCAGTGTGTTGCTTTTGGTGGAGTTCACTCTGTGGCTTTGACTTCGCTTGGGAAGATTTTCGCTTGGTCAGTGAGTAATTAACAACTTTACATTCATTATTTGTTCATTGATTGAGTGTTTGTTTGGTGTGAAGGTTTAAACATCGTTTGCTTAGGCGTCATTTAGCAAGCTTATATAGTTATTATAAGTGTATGTATGGTTGAGTAATCAAAGGTTAAAAAGAGTTTTTTTTTTTTTCAAAGAAGTAAATTAGCAAAAAGGCGTACAAAAATAATCACTTTTATTTATGATTTGCAACAAGATTTTGTTTTGTTTGGAGTCATGAATCTTGCAGGGGTAATGTAATACTCTAACCAAAATTTTCTTGGGTATGGTAATTTAATATTTTTAAAGAAGCTCATTGGTGAAGTTAGTTGACATGATGTAGCACCCTCCTTGAATTGCAACCAAAGGACCAATAAAACAGAAAGCAAAAGAGCTTTTATCAATATATGGAATCACATTTGATCAACAGAGCATTTTTCCTTTCTTATTTAGTCAAATGGAGATGTTGAAGCAACTAAGTATTGTTATTCAAGATTTAGAATATAACTATGTCAGTTTAACTGGTTGGCCTGATAATTAATGATGTTCTTGTGCTTGATTGGATAAATATCAGGAGAAGAGAGTTGTGTGCACGTATTCGTCACATTGTTGTGTTCACTTACGTGTTTTTAGTCTGATAATAAATGGCTTATCATTAAAAGGTTGCAAGGGTTATGGTGGTTTTGGTGCACTTGGACATTCTGTCTATCATAGAGAGTTGTTTCCTAGATTGGTGGAAGGTTCTTGGAATGGGAAAATATGGCACATCACAACCAGTGGGACACATACAGCTGCAATAACTGAGTTAGGTTGTTCTTCTTAACTGGCCCTGTTTTTTGTATGGAAATTTCTTTACATGTATATACTATTGGGTTTGCATTTTAGATATATGCTACTTAACCTGGACTAAATTTATATGAGTTTTGATTTGCGACCTTCGGAAACTTCCCTCTTGACCTCATAATGTGGAAAACGTATCAATTTAGTACTGCAGAACAAATTGAATGGAACATATTTCAAATGTCTGTAGGTTTATGTATTCTAGCATTTATGGGTTTCTAGTTGTTCTTTATGAGAAGATGATTCATATTGCCTTCATATAAATTACGGAAAGAATAAATAAAGAGGGATGTCAAATATCTTAATCCATCTATTATTGAATATGAAGGAACTTTGCACTTGGAGTCGAGATGAAGGAGATGGAAGATTTGGCCTTGGTCCTGGTTGAGGCCCTAATGAGGGAGGTGGACTTAGTATCCCTTCTAAGGTCAAAGCATTACCTGTACCTATGGCTGCTGTTTCTTGTGGTGGCTTGTTTACAACAGTGCTGACAAAGGAAGGGCAACTTTGGAATTGGGGAGGTAAAGATATCAACTCTTTTGTCTTATTTTCTCTCCTTATCTCTACCCAATTGCAGTTTAGTTACTTTCATTTATTTGTTCGGAAAAGTTGCACAGTTCTGGATATCACTCTCTTAAGTTTTCAACTTTGATGAAATTTCATTTATCTCTGCTTCTCTAACATTACAATGACATCATATTACACATTGTCATGTGTTCTGCTCAGCAAGTTCTAACTATGAGCTTGGAAGAGGTGATAAGGTTGGTGGTTGGAGACCCAAGCCAATTCCTAGCCTTGAAGATGTTCGTATCATTCAGATAGCAAGTGGTGGCTGTCACTCCCTTGCATTAACTCGTAAAATAATTGCTTAAATTCACGATTACCACAACAACCTTATTAAATCCATTCCTCACTTGTCACCCCCTCCTTCCCATTCTAGGCTGTATACTAATATTGGTTTTCATTTTTTATGTATAATTTCAGATTAAGGCCTCGACCAGGACCAAGGCCCAATCTTCCATCTCCTTCATATCGACCCAAGTGTAAAGTTCCCCTATAATCAATAATAGACGGATTAAGATATTTAACAACCCTCTTTCTTTATTCTTTCCGTAATAAATATGAAGGCAACATGAATCATCTTCTCATAAAGAACAACTAGAAACCCATAAATGCAAGATTAAATAAACCTATAGACATTTGAAATATGTTCCATTCAATTTGTTCTGCAGTACTAGATTGATATGTTTTCCACATTATGAGGTCAAGAGGGCAGTTTCCAAAGGTCGCAAATCAAAACTCATATAAATTTAGTCCAGGTTAAGCAGCCTATATCTAAAATGCAAACCCACTACTATATACATGTAAAGGAATTTCCACACAAAAAACAGGGTCAGTTAAGAAGAACAACCTGATTCAGTTATTGCAGCAGTATGTGTCCCACTGGTTGCGATGTGCCTTATTTTCCCATTCCAAGAACCTTCCACCAATCTAGGAAACAACTCTCTATGATAGACAGAATGTCCAACTGCACCAAAACCACCGCAAATTTTAATGATAGAGCCATTTATTATCAGGCTAAAAGCACGTAAGTGAACACAACAATGTGATGAATATGTGCACACAACTCTCTTCTCCTGATATTTATCCAATCAAGCACAAGAACATCATTAATTATCAGGCCAAGCAGTTAAACTGACATAGTTATATTCTAAATCTTGAATAACGATAAGAAAGGAAAAATGCTCTGTTAATCAATGTGATTCCATATATTAATAAAAGCTCTTTGCTTTCTGTTTTGTTAGTCCTTTGGTTGCAATTCAATACTAACTTCCCCAATAAGCTCTTTTAAAAATATTAAATTACCATACCCAAGAAAATTTTGGTTAGAGTATTACAATTATCCCTGCAAGATTCATCACTCCAAATTTAAGATCAATTTGTATGGACTACATCTTGTTTCAAATCATAAATAAAAGTGATCATTTTTGCATGCCTTTTTGCTAATTTACTTCTTATTAAAAAAAAAAACTTTTAACTTTTGATTACTCAACCATACATACACTTCTTATAACTCAATAAGCTTGCCAAATGACGCCTAAGCAAACGATGTTTAAATCTTCACACCAAACAAAGACTCAATCAATGAACAAATGATGAATGTAGAGTTGTTAATTACTCACTGACCAAGTGAAAATCTTCCCAAGTGAAGTCAAAGCAACAGAGTGAACTCCACCAAAAGGAACACACTGAACAGGATCATCACCCAAATAAGGGTTCAAACTAGGCACAAACAAAGAATTTCATGCCCAAAACCAAGTCTCCCACCATCTCCTTTCCCACAAACCCACAGCTTTCCATCCACAACCAACCCACCTGAAATATTTAAACTTGAACCCGAACCCACTTCAGAATCTTTCTGAAAAAGTCGGCCGGGAGTTTGGGAGATGGTAAAGGGTAGAGAAAGAATAAGGTTTACAACTGGGCTTGGGTAGAGTCTCACTTCTTCAATGCCACCACCCAACTGGCCTGAGGCGCCTCTCCCCCACGAGAGGAGTTGGAGAGTGACGGCGTCGTTTTGGTTTTCATCTGTGTGCATGCAGAGAAGTGGGATTTTGGTGGATGAAGAGGAAGTGGAGAGATGGCGATTGAGAGTTGTCGTTTCAACACAATTTAGTGAAACATGAAGAATAAAAAAAGGGTAATCTTTGTGAGTTGTTCTAATCCTAAATTATCTTATTATCAAAAAGCTTTTTGATATTGAAAAAATCAATTCAAATATTATAAAATAACCTACACATAATTTTGTTATTTTAATGGTATTAATTAATAACAAAATCTCAATTTTCATGATTCTATATATTGTATAAGGTTTTCAATTTTTGTGTTGATTTTACCTTCAAAATTCTTAAACGTGGAAAAAAATAGATTTCATTTACAAATATCAATTATCGGTAGACTAAATTTATCTAGT